AGAAATGAGGCAAGGGTGGAGATATCGAAAGACGTAGAGAATCAAGTGAAAGGGGAGAAACGAGAAAGATAAATATAATAACAGTGTAAACGGGGATGATAAATAATGACGGGGTTGAGAAAGTTGGGGAGATTGGGATTTAATGTGGTAGACGGGGAAGGGGAGGTGGATCAAGGTGCAAAAACAAAGGACGATAGGAAAATAAAAGAGATCCTCGCGTAACGACTGAAACAGGGGAGGCAGTGGTGCGTTACTTTGGTTACGCTATCTTGGTGTTTCGTACGGTTCTAGAGCGAGTGACGTCACCGACGACCACGGCGACGTTTAACGTAGGCGCAGACGACGTAGACAATCGGCGCTATCGATTGTTGTCCCACGATCGTCGCGAAGTGACGCAATAATATATTTCGTTTCTTCTCGCAGGCCGGAGGTCGTAAACTTCCACGAGAGACACATAGGTACACTGTTGTCTCTTACTTTCTTTGGACGAGCGAATTCGTCTCTGGCGCCACCATCGCCCACGGATTACGAACGAAGCGCGGACGTGACGTCTTGGCAACGTCTTGCCGGTCCCGCTCGACGACCACGATCAATAACGATCCCTCGTAAACGATAGCCCCTTATTAATATTTAAGCAGGCGTCCCAACCGATTCTCCTAATCATAACCTCAAATCCACTTTGCGTTTCACCAAAACAATATTTCCGTCCATCCGATGTAAATCGCGAATTTGACAGATGTAAAGAAAAAAAAAAAAAAGAAAAAAAAAAGAAAAAAAAAAGAAAGAAAGAGACACAATCCAAAATACGAGCGCGCATATCTCTCCATTCGTTCCATATTCATTGTCGTTTAATTATTTATAATGTATATTCGCTCAGTGCGCATTATTATATCATATCTGGTATCGCGAAAATTACGTCGATCCACGACGCTCGGCTTTTCTCCTCCAATGAATTTAAATCCAACGGGTGGCTGCTGCATACTTCGATACGGAGATTTGCTCTCCCTTTCTCCTTTTCTTTCTGCTCGCCGCTGCTGCTGCTGCTGCTGCTGCTTCCTCAATGTCGCCAACTTTTTTCTCCCTCTATCTTCCCCTCGCGTACCCCCTCGCGCGCGCTCGCGCTCTCTCTCTCTCTTTCATCTTGACTCTCGATCCATCTCTAGACCGCTGTCTCCGTGTGGCTGTGACTCGAGAGACGCTCCACGTCGATTTCCGGTATTGTCAGCTCATCCGGTATATTGTCCGCGTACTCGATGCTGCTCGTTTGCGAGAGTCGTTTGCTCAGGGATGATTGCTTTCGTAGTACCTCCGCGAGGGTCGCGCTGCTGGGCTCACCGTATCGCGCGTCTAGCCCCTGCCGAAATGCGTTCACTACGCGGATCTGTAAATAGAATTTTCATGTTAGCTCTTTGCTTTCAATTTGGCGCATTCTTTTCTATTTTTAAGGCGGGACCATTTTTGCTTATGGAGATGGATGGGAGTTTATGGATTCTTATCTTGGGGATTTAACTACTGTTTTCTTGGGGTTTGAGGTTTTCGTGTTTTTTTTTTTTTTTTTTTTTTTTTTTTTTTTTTTTTTTTTTTTTTCTAAGGATTTTACTTGGTTAGGTTAGGTCGGGGCTAGGTTAGAGAAACGCCCTCTTACGTTTCTCCCATGTAGGTCGTGATGCAGCGGTTGTCCTTCGTGTGTAACACAACCTGGACGACTTGTTAGTGACACACTTAAGAATTATTGTGTATGTAGTAAGGCTTGCGTAACAAATTTCATGCAAATATGTGAAATCACCCATTTTTGGCATTGTAATATTTCGAGCCTAATAAATTGCTTCGATACGTTACGTAATAGGGGGGGATACAGTTTATGTTAATTTTTCGTCATATTTTCTCGGAATTAAATCATCTCAAAATTGTCTTATCGGACTGAACGACTTCCGATAGGAGCATGCGAATCAATTTTATAAAAATAAAAACAAATTTTTTCGCTCTTGCTTGACGAACAGCATATAAGAAAGATAGCATTAAGAAATTTTCAAAATGGGGTCGATTGAGCTCTTACCTCATTAGAACGCCACCCTGTATACAGATATCTTTTTCCTTTTCTTTCTATCACTCTTTCACTGCATGTGTGTAACAATAATAATAATTGCTGCAATACTTGAGAAGAGGCGCCGTGAAATTTAGAAAGAAAAAGTGCAAGAGAAAAACGAGCACGAAAATAAAATATCCAAAAATAAGAAAATTAAGCCTCGATAATTTGGGCAAAATTTAAAAATTAATTTTTTTATTCGTCAAGCAAATGGTTTTTTTTTTTTTTCAAAGCGAGGACACTTGGATTTGATAAAGACAATTTTGAATAGCTCTCTACAGGCAGTCGCCGTAAAGATAAGAAATTTCACGATGCCACTGTGAAGATGGGTGATTTTTTTTTCTTTTTTTTTTTTTTCAAGAAAAATTAAACACTAACAATAAATCGTTCGATAACAAGCACATGTCAAAACGGCACACAGCGACAGATTAGGCTTGCTGGCATGCATATATATGTATGCTTAATATCGTACATCTATGTATGTATATTTATACGCGAATATCACCATCACCATCATGATTCGTCATCATGATCTTCATCATCATTGACCATAAAAATAATCAACAAACGTAACCGGCTTCATGATAATCTGTGATAACTTTGTCTTAAAATTATAATCATCCTCATTATTATCGTCATCGCCATCACCATCACCACCACCATCAGCGACGTTACCCATTCACCGTCAAATAGTAATAATCCCTATTACGTAGGAAAGAATGAATTTTCGACAGTAAGAAACTTAAGCAGAAACAAAAAAAAATACTTACGCGATCCTCGTTCGGTCTTTTTGAGGGTCCAAGCTTCGTTTTCGAAAATCTCTGTACTTTTCATTTCATTTCCTTTTTGATGATCTTTCATACGTCTCAGTGATCTAGCTTTATCATTTTTCGAAGAAGTTGAAAGTTTTAGGTACCTTTTCACAAAAAGTTTGGACTTTTGCCTTTTTTTTTTTTTCACTAATCGATTGTCGCTAACGGTCAATGGGAAACTGCATATGTGTTTTTACACGTATGCCTAATTTTGTCAATGTGGTGGTACTGATCACTCTCTGAGCGGAGGATCAAAATCATTATAAGATTCAGTTAATGATCGTAACGGTAACGAATCTGTTAAAGACAAATCAATACATTTTTCAAAATTCGATTTTCCATCTCGGTCTTACCGACGACGCAAATTTTTTGGTTCTCTTGTAAATCCAAAATTGTAAATTGATAAAATTAAAATAAAATGTAAATTGGCTTTTGCCTGCGGAAAACTTTATCTCAAAATCAAGAGAGAAAAAAAAAGATAAAGATCCATCGATGCCATTTCTACGCATCCGATAACATCGATCAATAATCAATCCATATTCACGTGTATGCACAATCGATCGATATAACATAATATGCTAACAGACATGTATATAGTATGTAATATATATAGGTATACATATCTAATCATCAATTCTATTCTAACGTGAACACCGATTGTGGAATACTCATCTAACAGGCAAGCAGGAGGATATAGTGAAAAGAGGAAAAGCCACAGAATAAGATATAGGGTTGTTTCATCTTCTTTCTCTTCTTTCTTTTCATTCTTTTCTTTGTCAAGAGAAAATTGGTTGTGTAAGTTTGTGATGAAAACAGGACATGTAACGAGTGTAGACAGTATCGAGTCAGATGATTAAATTTTTTTTCCCCCAAAAAAAATTATGGCACATTTCAACTTGTTTAGAAATTTTTCTTTTCCCTTTTTTTATCTTTATCGTGCCATTTACGATACAGCCTCTTTCTAGTACTCTATATGACGTTTCTTTTTTCATACTACATCTGTACACTATGGACTTAAGGAAAAGTAATAACGTACGGTTATTCATACATTTTCTCTTTGTCAAACTTGATAGCAGATAACGCACGTCCAGATATTGCAATAATTTTCCAAAAATCGAACTTGATCAAAGTATAATAATCGACAAAATATCCGTTCAATGAAAAAGTAATGAAAAGTGCGAAATAGAAATGTCCATACAAGGTGTTCGGAAGTTACTATACATAGGATTACTGCTGAACACCCTATATAATGACAGGTATATATAATATCAAAGTATATATATTTTTAACGATGTATATATATATATATGTGTATGGCAACGGAACACGCATGGAGTTTGTAATTAGACATAATCTATAAAAGCAAGTGACTGAAATTAAAAAAAAAAAAGGAAAAAATTTGTTCAAAACTTTTCCCTTCGTCGTGCTCAATCACGAAGACAATGAATCCTTTAATTAGATCAATGAATTAATTAAAGCGTAATTATACGTATACAGTGTTACTGGATGCGTGGATATTATATATAGATATACAATATAATGACGTAGAGAAAAAAAAGTAGTGGATAGAGTAATACAGACATCATTAAGACAGTATATATAGTATAATATATATATATATGTATGAAGGAAATAGATATAGGATAACGATAGAAACTTTTACGAATTCATTGGCTAAATATCATTTACCTTGATAACGACGTAGCGGGTATATTAAGGAGTACGAGAATCCGTGTTCGTCATCCCGCAATCATTGAAATCATTATCAGCGCGCACCGATATCGTCCCGAATTATTCTCCACGTGTCATCTCGACGTCATATTGGATCGTGAAGCCTTCTCGTGCGAATATGCACGTATTAGGATTTCCTTTCTTTTTTTGAGTATTTAAAGAAAAAATATTTTGAAAAATTGTTCACTTTCGAAAATCCGATGCCAGAAGGACAATGGTAAAAAAAAATAGGTTTCCTGTTCTATACACACACATACACACACGCGCGCGCACCAAAGTATATGGAAAAATATGCAATATCCGGACAGGATTTTAGACAGCTTGTGCGGGCGTATGCTTGTGCGCATGCGCACTTTTCTTTGACTTACCGTGACACGTCATTACTTTCCCTGAATTCCAGTGAACGGGAGATTCTTGAAATTTCCGTCATACTTTTAATTTTTGATAAATTAATTTTTGGGATTTTACTGATTCTACGGGAATTTATCTTGCGGGTGAATATACATGTATGCTGTGAAAATTCTCTTGAGGTTCTTGGATTGGGATACGCTGACAAAAAAAATTAAAAAAAAATTTCGCACTGGTCGCACGTGCGTTTTTTTCGTCGGACGCACCATAGTTTGTGCGTAATGCCGTCTTCGTGTGTTTAATTTTTTGCTTG